TATATCCCGCCTATTTGGTCAGGTCAGGACCACTCTAGGCAGCTAACAACCATGAAAAGTACAATGACAATATATAAACAATTTAAATAATAAAAGCCATACACAGAGTGAGAGAAACAAAAGAAGAGGAAAGAAAAAGGTGTCAGGAATTGACTAATGGGAAGGCCTGCCGAAACAACCGCATCCCCCATGATGAGGATGGGGAATAATTTCACGACATTTTAGCCAAACCAGTCTTATGGATGCCCTTTTATTCACACCTGAAGGGAAAAACACTCCCTTGGTCTGAAAGAGGTGTTCGGGAAACGTCATAGTGAAATTGCTCAACACTCACTCGACAATTTTTTAAATTGACATTTTATTAGTTTTTCAATATATCTAATTCAGTTTGTGCTTGTTAAACATCATGTTACACGAGTTGCTTATAATTATTTGGGTTTTTTGCATCTTGGTGTCTTCTTAGTTGTCCCTTCAAAATCTATACAGTTTTAAAGTACAGTATTTGAACCAATCATGTGTATATTTTAGCGTACAATATTGGCTACTATCATAATATTGCTCTCATAGTATACAATATTCTCAAAATCCTCTAATAAAATACCTAATAAAAGCAATTCTGGTTTCATATCCACATAATTTTGAGGCATTTTAACTGACCAACTTTGTATTTTATAGCAGTAATAACTAAATAGGTTCCTAACACATAGTAAATGTTATCTAAAGTATATACATTTTCTTTATATAATTGTTTAGCCATTTCTATCTTCACATTTTTCTGTCATGTCTATATCAATGTCATATCTAATATATGTTGAAGAAGTACTATTTGTTTTATCTCTTTCTTATGTCTAGCTTCAATTTACCTTAAGAACCACCTTGTTATGTCTTTACCCTGATTACTGATCTGTTATTTCAGTTTGCTTCTTTTTCTAATATATAAGCTGTGTCCCCTTTCAATTCCAGAAGTTAGGTATATACATGATTTCAACGTTGAAGGCCACATTAATATTTTTTCCTTTATTTTTCTAAGTAACTACTTCTCTTGTTTGTCCTTTCCCAATTCTTATTCCTATCCCTCTAAAAATTCTGCCATCCCTTGTACCATCTGAGATCATTTTATGCACTTGATCTATTTCCAGTAGATCTTCCAGGCTGTTTTTAATTCACTCTGCTGGTTCTCTCCCCTTATCTTCCCTTGGCACACCTAAGACTCTCCTCGGCTCCAGGGTTAGATTTAGATCTCCTAAGTTTTCTCCTATGATTTCCTCCAGCTACTCCTTTGGTTGGCATACATCATCCACCACCCTCTCATATCCTTGCTCATTATTCCTGGTCTCCTGTTGACTATATTCTTTCCTAAACTGCTCATTGAATAATTTCGCCTCTTTGTTGTGGGATCTCATTATTTCTAAAATTGCTTGAAGGGTAGATTTTGTTTCATCCCAAAATTTTCCTTGTTGTAGCATTATGTCCCAGGTATCAAATAATTGTATTCCAAGTGAAAGTTGTCCAGTTGCTTAATCAGCATCCAATTCCACCAATACTTGCTTCAATAGGTCCACCTTAATGGATTGATCATCTTTAGGGCTAAACTTGAATCTAGTCTCAGACGTAAAGGGTTTACCCTGCTTGGAGGCTCAAGGACACTTACTCACCAAATAATTCACTCAATGTTTATATTCATGGCCTGATGTCTCTTGTAATCCAGCCCCAGAAGTGGTCCAGGATACATCCAAATGTTTTTATTGGTCTAGATAGGTCCACATTAGCCAGATATATATTCCAAGATGAATTGTCTTTGTTAGACTTTCTGTCAGTGCTTCAGTCAATTCTCAGGAAAAAAAGGAGAGTCAAAACAGATTCCCAGATGCTTCAGTCAATTCTCAGGGAAAAAAGGAGAGTCAAAACAGATTCCCAGCTTAGGGCCGCCATAGAGTGTTCAAGGTCATGCGTTCTGGGCTTTTCACCAATGCTTAGATAGCCATAACATAACAAGCTTAACTCCCAGAGTTGTTTAGCTAATAATGATTTTAAAAGAAGGATTTCTTAAGTTTCTAATGCCAAAGTAATACCAAACTTCCTTCCTGGAAGTATAATTAAATGTCTAATTAGTGTCCAATTTATTTTCTTTGTGTTTCTTTGCGTCCCTTCCCTCTCTCCAGATCTATCACTGCTTGATAATTGGTGAGGATAAGAGGTGCTATTTCTGTTATAGGGATTGTCTTGCCCAGGGAGAGTTATAAAGCAGTATAGTATAAAATATTTCTCACCCAATGGTAACAACGATGTTAATTAGCTGATTTATCGCTTCTCTATTGCCGGCTGCCAACGACTTGCAAGCAAGCTATTTCAGCTGCCTTGTTTCCGCCCACTGATTGATTGGGGAGTAACAAGGGTAACTGCAGCCCCCATGACCAACAGGCTTCTCCCCCATTTCACCACCTCTTTGGGGTGGTTTTAAACCCCCTGATGGGTCCCAAACAGGTTGGAATTCAGCCCAGGGGACAGAGCTCTATCCTGCTGCTGCTGTCTTGTGCAGCGTCAAGTCAGAAGTCTCCACACTCCCTAGACAATTTGAAGGGCTGTTCTTGTTTATATTTTCAGAATGTTTTCGTGGGGCAACCTGGGTGTGTGTGAGGTGCTAGGGCACTGCCTTGAGGACCAGAGGGATTGCCTACAGAGCACAGAACAGGCTTCAACTTGATGCAAAGCAGAGAGGTGTTTTTTCTAATTTTGAGTCTGGTGAGGAAGAGGGTAAAAGTGTGACACATGCACAAGTGGGGTGGGGGGATCTGGGCTTTCTCTGTAGACCCTTCTTTTTTTTACTTTTGATCCCATAGCAAGTCAATCCAGATAATTTTTCCATCTCATAATAGAGCTCTAAAACCAGAAATAAATGCAAACAAACGTTGGTTGGGATGAAAGAGTTTCACATCATGCTGTGTTTCAACATTCTGTGGTAGGGATTCAGCAGGAGTTGAGCTGGGTCTGCTGCTATTGTATTTTACTTGAATGCTTTATTGCTGGACGTTTCATGCCCTTTCATCCATTTCTTTGATAACCTCCATAGGTGGCCCGTTGCCACAAGTGTTGGAAGCGGTATGACCCGGTTCCATACAACAAAATGTGGGGCACAGCAGAATTCAAGTGTACCTCGTGTGGACGTACCTTTAGGTGAGAGGCAAGAGCTGATTCTTTCTGGTGTGTATGGAAGGGGGCTTTAGCATCTTACCTACCACTCCAAATCTCATGGAATCAGGCCTTGAAAATCCAGATATTTTTATATATTCTCTACAGTATCAATGATTTTCATGTTCCAGGGTGTTAAATGCTGCTGCCTGATGGTTCCATTTGCTGGGCTGATAAATGATTAGTAGTCCAGGATAACTGACTGACATTTTGTCACAAAAAATGACAGAAAGTGTCCTCCGATGATGGGAAATCTCCCCCTGGTGCTTAGAAAGACCTGCAGGTCCTGGAGAGAGTGCCTTTCAGATGACAGAGCAAAAAGGGCTGCCCCATAGAAAGTGTGAGAGCATTCAGAATTTCTAGTGAAGAGTTTGGTAGGAATCAGGCTTCAGTCTTGGCATTGTGAGCTGGACTTGGACAATACACTTTCTGTAGATCTGCCATTTCTTTTTTAATTCATATTTCATCTTCAAAAAGACTGCTCATATATTTGCAAACCCATAACCTACTACAAAGGTCCCAGGCATTCCAGTGATCACACACACACACAAAAGAAACCCAACCCAGCAGGAGCAGCCTGGAATTTCTCATTGAATATGGAGGGGTGTTAAATGCTTCGATACAATACTAATATTAAAAGCTAGATTGGTTTCTTGTTCTACAAATTTTGTTTTCTCTGTAGTGCGGTGGGTGGGTTGGTTTTTTTTTTTTTGAAAGAGAATGTGTGTGCTATAAAATAGAATGTTAACATCTTAAGTATGAACAAAAATAATCAATCAAAAGCATATCATGAAATAAAGGAATTCTCTCGTCTCCTCCTCACAGGGGATCAGCTCAGATCGGGACCCCTTCTCCTTGCTACAGTTGCCATACCCCTGTGTTCCCGAGCTATATCATCCCACCTCGCAAGACCCCAGGGCCACGAACCAAACAGCAGCATTCGTGCTTTGCAGAAGATTGCTTCAATCGGAGAGGTGAGATGAAGGGAAAGATTGCATGAGATAACTGGCATCCCATTTAGAGGCAGAGAACACGTTAGTCCTCGAGCAGCACAGTTTTCTCAGAGCTGCCCGCCGAGCAGTCCTCCTTTCAAATAAAGCCCATGTTTAGCTAAAGACAATGACAAAGCAAGGTAATCTGGAAAAGGTGAGAAAAGCTGGGACAAACAGTGTCCTTTTGCCAGTTACAGGAGTTCTACCTTGACGTGTTGGATGCAGTTTTATCACGTCAGAGCTGTATTGTTGTGCTAGGTAGAAAGCGTAGGCGCAGTCTTCCCAACTGTTAGAGAAAGAGGAGCAGGAAAACTTTTGACTCAGATCTCTTTAAAATATATCATAGCAGAGGTTCAGGGCACTTTTCAGTTGGGGAAAAAGAACCTTGTGGTGTAATTGCCGCCTTCTTATGGCTCTACATAAAATGTGTTGCATCCTTAGAGACACAGTGCATAGATGATGATTATGATAATGTGCCATCCAGTCAATTCTGACTTATGGCAACCCTTTCAGGGTTTTCTAGATAGAGAATATTCAGAAGTAGTTTTGTCTTCTGGGGTTGCCCTGAGACTGTGCAGCTTGCCCAAGGCTGCACAGGTTGGCTCTTCTTCCTGGAGGAACAGTGGGAACCTCTGGCTCCACCGCCAGATAGCTAAACCACTGAGCTGTCCCATCAGCTGCATAAATGATAACCTTTGGAAAGTACTATTTTTTTCTTCTTTAAAAAAATTGTTACCATGGTACTTACTAGTCCTGGTCCAACATGGATAGCTGGGTAAGAGCACAGTTGCAGTTGGTGTATGTGTGTGTGTGTGGCAGGGAGGGGAGACCTTGACAGCTATTTTGAGAGAAGAAGGAAGTGACTTCAGTAAAGCAAGTTGATCCATTTTCATCTCAGGGGCAGTGGATGGCGAATTGTGTTTGCTCACATCATGATCTGCTCTCCTTCATCTACAGAGCCCCACATTCCAGGAACTCACTGTGTGCATCCTATAAGCCGCCGTAGGAGAGGCTTGCCCAAAGTGATCCACCCCAGCGAAGAACATGACAGCACCGGTTCCACAGTGGCCACCTGCGTGAGTCAAGGCAGCTTGGCCACCTACGACATCGACTATCTCATCCTGGAGGATCTGGAGGAACAGGATGAAGAGGAAGATGGTGGGAGCAGCAGTTAACTCCTGGATGTGTGAAGTAGACTGCTCGTAGGAAGTGGATGGCAAGTGACGGAAGGGTGGAGGTGGCCAAGGAGGAAGTCTTACTTTTATATTCCCCAAGGCTTCCAGCCGGCCATTTCTAATCATGTACGCAAATGGTATTTCTTCTCGTCAGGGACCACTCACCAGTCATTTTGAAGTTTCTGTCTGGCTTCTCATGTTTACCTCTTTCTTTCAGTTTGGTCTGTTATTGTCTTTTCTGCCCAGGAAAGCTAGATATCGCAAAACTACATATTTAAAATTGTCATGGTAGTCATTACATACGATCAAACAAGGCTTTTTGTGTGTGCTACCATCCTGCCTCGTTTAAATGAATTTTATACTGGGGACTGAGGATGGGAACAGTCCAGATGACCCCGTTGTTCACCGGCAAACCATGCTGTGCATTTCCACTGCTTCTCCCATATATTTTTCTTATTGTGGGAAGTCCTTTAAGAGGCAGAAGACTAAAAACCTGCACAACACCTTGTCACGGCTAGTGTTGGGAACCTTCTCCCCGACATCTAGAATCATCCATTCTTTTTCCTCAGAGAACTTTAGGGAGTTTCTAGTTCGGTGATGGAAGCCAACAAACCCATCAAATTATGGTTTCTAGGCTTCTTTGGGTGATGTTCCCTCATACAAAACAAGCATGACTATATCCCTTGTATAGTGTAAATGGATCCCTGTCCAGCTTGCCCCTGTCACATCTCCCATGGATGGACATTGTCTGTGGAACCCTGACATGGTCTTCTTAACCTGTGGTGATCAAGTCTACCTCTGTTATTAAAAGAATCAAGAGGCTTTTAAAAGGTATCCTGTTGAGCAGGCATTTTCACTGACTCTGTGAGGTTTTATAAGCAGCTGGAATGAAATAATTGTATGTTGCTGGACAAATTTCTCCTAGTGTGTAGATAGTACATTGGTTTGAGATGAAGTCACAGTTAGGAAATACACTGGCTGCTTCTGTTGCATGAAAGCCAGCAAAATCCAACAAGACTTGTAGAAGTGAGGAGCCAAGTTGTTTTCTTCTTCTTCTTTTTACTATTAACTTGCTGCTGCTTTAGGTAGTCAAGACTGAAATCCCCCCAGATGAGCGCGATGCCTTTCTTCAGAGAAGCTGCATAAAGAATCTGGCTGGCACAGCTTGTATGTTTTCAGAAACATTTTCTTCCTCCTCAAGTCGGGCTGATCGTCGGGGTTCGTTTTGCGAAGATCGGTAAGCGAAACGCTTACCGGTCTTCGCAAAGCGAATTTTCCCCTATTGGAAAAACGTTGAGCGATCGCATTAGCGATCCGAAAAAACGGATCGCTATGCGATTTCATCGTTATACGGTGCGCTCATTAAGCGAGGCACCACTGTACATTGGTTTGAGATGGATTCACAGTTAGGAAATCCACTGGCTGCTTCTGCTGCATGAAAGCCAGCAAAATCCAACAAGACTTGTAGAAGTGAGGAGCCAAGTTGTTTTCTTCTTCTTCTTTTTACTATTAACTTGCTGCTGCTTTAGGTAGTCAAGACTGAAATCCCCCCAGATGAGCGTGATGCCTTTCTTCAGAGAAGCTGCATAAAGAATCTGGCTGGCACAGCTTGTATGTTTTCAGAAACATTTTCTTCCTCCTCAAGTGAATTTGGCTGGAAATGGAAACACACATTCTTAGCTATTAGAAAAGCAACTGGTTGGAGGGGAGCAACCGTCACTCACCAAAAGGTTGGTCATCAGCCTTGAATTTAGCTTCTTAGGACCAAAAACCAAAAGGGGGGGACACATTAATGACACCCTCCCCACCGCTTACAAATAGCATATGTATTGCAGCTCTGATCATTGTCCTATTCAGTGGGTCTAGTTCCCTTGCTCTTCAACAGGCAGGAAAGGCAGTTTTAGGCAACTCTTATTTGCAAGAAGTTTACTGTTGGAAACCATCTTGGTTCTTTAAGCAGACAACTATTCCATGCAGTATTTCTGTAAAATTAGCACTGCTCTTGGAAGCTATATTGGTGCCTGCCATATATGCTGAGTCTTCGAGCAGGGAGCATGTTCCTTGAAACCTGATGTCTAGACTGAAAGCTGTTATATCTACATCATTCTGTCTCTTGTTTTACAGGTGCATTTCTTTTCAGTGTAAATGCATCAGATAAGACTGCTAAATGTTTTTTCTTGCCCGAGGTCATTAAAACAGATGCAAATTAAACTGATGCACTTCTTTGCCATTGAAATTGCCAATTTGCACTAGTTGGTGTGACAAACCCAGACCTACTGGGATCTGCCACACGTTAACTAAGCTGCCACCAACCATTCCCTATAAGAAGTCACACAGACCAGGGATGGATTTTTAACAAATAAAAGAATAAGGTTTATTTAAATACAACACACAGTTCGCAATGTGCCAATCGCAGTTGTAGCCAGGCCGGGGCTCCCCCGCCTCCTTGCACACCCGACCACTCAGCAGCTGAGTGGGGAGACTTTGTAAACCCAACTTATACCCCACCCAGATTTCACATAGCACACAAAACATGGATTCCATAAAACATTGATGTCCTACTCCATTTTATTCCTCATCCAAGCTTTAAGTAGTGTTTAACTGTTTAGGACCCACCTTGTACATTTATACACAGGAAAGTTTGTTCATCCTTATTTGCTTTTTTAAAACACACTGATTTTTTTTAAATCAGTTATTAATTTTAGAAGATAAGTTGGGTGTCTTTGTGATCCAGCTAGCACCAGCCAATCAGCACAGTGCTGAACCATTGTTGCTAATCACTCACAGTCTCCTTGGCGTTAAATCCCAGACAAAAGATAGTACATCTAATTTCAACTCGGTTTTAAAGTACGGCTGGGCTTCTCCTTGGTGTGTGTCCTTTCTTACCATCGTGAACAGAAATTATGTGCCATGTGTGGACCGGATCATCATTGTCACTTTGCGGAGTGAGTAAGCACCCCCATGAAACTCTGCCCAGTAGACTCCATCCTGATAACGGCTTCGGTAATGCCCACCTTTATACCAGACGCCATTGAGGTTGGAGTGGGCGCACATATTGTACCACCAACCACCTTTCTGGTAATGAGCGCAATTCCCTGTGGGAAAAGAAGATATATAAAAATACATATTTATTACTTGCACGTCTCACCCTTCCTCTAGAGTGGTGTTTCCCAACCTTTTTTAAATTGTGACCCCCTTTTATAATAGCCAAGTAGCCAGTGACCCACCACCACCATATTTGCATTAAAAGGCATTTTAAAGGGGTAATGAAAATATTTAAAAATAGATTTTTTGAATATAATTCTATACTAATATATCAATGTAATGATGCATAATCATGGGGCGACTATAAAGCTGCCTCTACCAGAAAAAAAATTGAGAAGGGAAAAGATGTCACTACACTTTATAATTTACCTTTTGGGGTATGAAAATGACCATTCATGTTTCCTCCACCCCAAAAAGCACCCTCAGTCAAAAGCCACTCCTCTTCAGACCTAAGTAAACATCTTCCCCCCATGCTTCCTCCCTAGTTTTCCTCCCCTACCTTTTTGCCCCCTCTTTCCTTCCTCCTCCATGAATCAGAGCTGGATCACATATGAGAATAGAACTCCAGTTATACTGATTCTTTCCATACCTCTGTTGTACCAATGCATTTTTTCAGCAGTCAAAGCAAAGCAAAGCGTGCTGCTTATATACTGCCCCATAGTGCTTCAAGCACTCTGGGCAGTTTACCAGTTAATTATACAGGCTACACATTGCCCCCCCAGCAAGCTGGGTACTCATTTTACCAACCTCGGAAGCATAGAAGGCTGAGTCAACCTTAGGCCAGCTACCTGGGATTGAACCCCAGGTCGTGAGCACAGTTTTGGCTGCAGTACAGCGGTTTAACCACTGCGCACCGAGGCTCCTTCACTTTGCTTTTATTTTATTTTTTTAAAAAATCCCTAAGTGGTACATCAATATAGTGGAAAGGGATTTCTGATTCGGAATGTTTGATCTATGGTGCCTGCTTCTCAGGAAGTAACACACTGCCCATCATAGTCCTGGCTCCCGTCTGTATGGGACATCTGGCATTAAGCAAGACAAAGGCCACATGAAGTCAAACTGTGGTGAGATTGTTCTTGTAACGCGCAAGACATCGATATATCAAAATGTTTTTTGAAAAAAGTTGCAGAGTTGCACGGCAATCATGGTGGCTGCCTGACTCAGGGATGACAATGGGGAAAGAATTGATAGGCGCATGCACACAGGTAAGGAATTAATTGATACATCATTGGTACATTTTAAAACCACCCTCCCAACGAGGGATGAAATAAACCAGGAAATGGCCGAGAACTGAATCAATGTTGGCTTGTGTGTTGTGTGCTTGGAAAACTTTGAAACGATCTTAAAAAATGGCCAGCTGGGGTTCTTTTGGCAGGTGTGTTTGAGCCATCAGGCAGGGCCCAGAGGAATCTCCCTGCCCAGGTTCCCTTTTTCCCTTCGCTGTGCTGCCCTTGCCACACCCAGAAGAGCCAGAGACTCAGGAGGAGCAAAAGGTGCCACTGCCATGGCAGCACCAATGTTTCAATCCTGCCACCATCTTGGGCAGCAGCGTTACCAGCGTGCCCTGCACATTCACCTCATTCAGCCCTCTTTAAGCTAGGCTTCTGCCTGGGTCCATAAGGCTGACATCATTCCCCCCAAAAGTGGATGTGGATGACCAGAGAGAAACTAGCGATAGCAGTTCTTTCGGGGGCGGGGGGAGGTTCAGAGTGATGCACATGCATAAAAGGAAAATCTGCTCAGTGAAGGAGAGAAATAACTAAGAACTGTGGGTTGCCTGCAGTTGGGGTTCAGATTAAATTAACTCTGTGTGAGCCAAGAGGCCTAAAATAAAACAGCATTGTGTACACTACATTTGATATAATAAATATAAAAATAATTGCAACTAAAAATAACTGCAGCGGCCCTCCAGAAAACACTTTGCAACCCCCTAGGGAGTCCCATCCCCCCAGGTTGGGAAACTGCTCTAGTGAGCTTAAGGCAGCATAGATGGTGCTTCTGTCTATACTTCATGTCAACCCTGTGAAATGTGTCAGACTGAAAGACTACAGCGTACCTAAGGTTTTTCTAGTGAGTTGGTATGGTGTATGTCAGAGTGGGGATCCGAACCTAGGCCTTTGAGGTTGTTGTCCAACATTCTAACCGACACCCCATGTTGATTCTTAGAGGTTGTTGTTAGGGTCACATCTATCCTTTTGGTTGTATTCATTTTCAGTAATACTTCCACAGGATACTTCTGCTTAACAGACTGCCACCAGTGTGTTCCAGGGAAACGTGGGGAACGGATTGTTGTGAATTTCTGAAGGAGCGCTCTCTTCTCAGCTCCGTGTTCCCTTGAGCTATAGCTGGCGTATACAGTGGTGCCTCGCATAGCGAGGCTAATCCGTTCCGGATTAACCTTCGCTATAGCGAAACATCGCTGTGTGGGAATAAAAAAGCCATAGAAACGCATTGAACTTTGTTCAATGCGTTCCTATGGCTTGAAAACTCACCGCTGTGCGAGGCTCGTCCATAGCGCCGCCATTTTCGCGCCCTCGGTAAGCGAGGGCAGGGCGCGAAAATGCGGCGCGGACCTTCCGGCGGCCATTTTGGAACCGCCGATCAGCTGTTCTCCCCGGCTTCGTTATGCGATATTCGCTAAGCGAATCGCTTAGCGAATATCGCAAAGTGAAACATCGCCATAGGGGCCATCGCTGAGCCAATGCTCCAGCGATGGCCCAGAGCACCTCGTTAAGCGATTTCATCGCTCATCGAGGCGCTCGTTAAGCGAGGCACCACTGTATTTGTTTGTTCACAACAGTTATTTCCCATATTTTCTCCAGCTGGCTCAAACCAACATATTTGGTTCCCTTTCTGTTCCCTTCTCATTTCTCATCCTCCCCCAACAAAACTGATCCCAAAATATTCCTCTTTTGTCTTCTTCCACCCGCTCCAAAGGGCCCTCTTTCCAGATTCCATTCAAAGGCTGGTGAAAGAGCTGTCACGCCCATTAGCAGAGTTTGGAAACAGCAGCCCTCTTTGGGACACATTCCCAAGACTTGACCGCTCTTTGGTGGGCGGCCAAACATCAGCTACCTTGTTGGAGTATTTATTTATTTTATTATTTATTTATTTATTCTATTTATATCCCGCCTATCTGGTCTTGCGACCACTCTAGGCGGCTTACAAACACATAATGCAACAGTAAATATAAAAAAAGAATTATTACATTAAATAGCCAATTCTTCAAGATGGGGAAGAAAAAATGAAAAATAAACCACAAAAGAAAAAGAGAAAGGAAGGAATCAGATATTAACTGGAGGGAAGGCCTGCCTGAACATCCATGTTTTTAATTGGTTTTTTAAAATACCCAGCAAGGGGGCCACGCAAATCTCCGGAGGCAGATTGTTCCAGAGGCAAGGAGCCACCGCCGAGAAGGCCCCGTTTCTTGTTTTTTCCTTTCGGGCCTCCCTCGGCGTCAGGCTTCTCAGCCTCACCTCCTGACTCGCTCAAGTGACACGGGTAGAGCTTGGTGGGAGTAGGCGTTCCACCAAGTATCGAGGCCCTAAACCGTTTAGGGCTTTATACGTAAGCATCAAGACTTTGAAGTCAATGTGGAACCAAATGGGCAGCCAATGCAGTGCAGCCAGAATAGGAGAAATATGGTGGTATTTTCTCGCTCCACTAAGGAGTCTGGCCGCCGCATTCTTCACCACTTGGAGTTTCCACATCAACTTCAAAGGTAGCCCCATGTAGAGCGCATTGCAGTGGTCTAATCTTGAGATTACAAGCGCATGGACCAAGGTAGTGAGTGCCCCCATATCGAGATAGGGTCACAGCCGAGCTATCCACCAGAGATGGAAAAAGGCAGTACAGACCACCAACGCCACCTGAGTCTCCATGGTGATCGCCGGGTCCAGATGGATCCCCAGGCTGCAAACTCCACTCTTTGTGGCAAAGATCACCCCCCCAAACGAGACGGAGTCACCCAAACCGCCAATAGTGGGAGCATCCACCCACAGGACCTCCATCTTGTCTGGGTTCAGCCTCAGCCCATTTTCCTGCATCCATTGCAGTACAGCCCCCAGGCAGCGCTGAAGGGACAGAACAGCATCTCCTGCAGTTGGTGAAAAGGAGATGTAGAGCTGGGTGTCATCAGCGTACTGATGACACGATGCCCCACACCCCCTGATGACCCCACCCAGTGGCCTCATATACTGTAGATATTAAACAGCATTGGGGAGATAATCGACCCCTGTGGAACCCCACATTTGAGGCTCCACAGGGCCGAAACACTCTCCCCAAGCTGTACTCTCTGAGGACGGTCTCCCAAGAAGGAAGGGAGCCAGGCAAAAGCCAGGCCACCAATTCCCAGCTCGGAGAGCCTCCCCAGGAGGATACCGTGGTCGACGGTATCAAAGGCCGCCGAGATGTCAAGAAGGACCAACAGAAATTTTTTTCCCCTGTCAGCCTCCCTCAACAGGTCATCATACAGGGCGACCAATGCCGTTTCTGTACCATGGCATGGCCTGAAGCCCGACTGGAATGGATCCAGGGCATCTGTTTCATCCAAAAGGGCCTGAAGCTGGTCAGCCACCACCCTCTCCACCACTTTGCTAATGAAAGAAACATTGGCGACGGGCCTATAATTGCCAATTTCGTCCGCCACCAAATTAGGTTTCTTTCTTATGGGCCTAATGAGTGTCTCCTTGAGGGGAGGAGGAACCCTGCCCTCAAGGAAAGACCCATTAATTATTGCTGTGGCCCGTTCTGTTGTTGTAGGCCTGGCTGCTTTGATTAGCAAGGCCGGGCAAGGGTCAAGGGAGGAGGTGGTGGCATAGCAGCAATCAAGCACTTTGTCCACAGTATCCGGCGTCAGGGGCTGAAAGAGATCAAGTATTAAGCACAAAAGAGGTTAACAAGGGATGATTGACACTGCAATATGAAACAATGTTTGTGGTAACCTGTGCACACTGCAATATGGAATTGCAGTGTCCACGGGTTACCACCAACATGGTTTCAAGTCAGGATGGCACAAATAGGTGAGAGGGCAGTGTATTATGCTGGAAATGATATTTGTTTGGGAGATCTGGGTTCTACTCAGATCTCCCTTGAGCTAATCTAATTCTTATTCCTCACCCACCCACCCACCAGAGTTGTGAGGAAAGCATGCCTGGCTCTTGGTGTCCTGTAGCCTTGTCTCCCTCCCCAGTCTTTGGGACTTCTTACCTGAGTAAGCATCGTGATCACGGTCAAGTGTGCTGAACTGCCGGCCGTTGTGCCAGGAGAGGGAGTCCCCGGCGCTGCCTCGATAGCGCCCCAGCCGTAACCGGTAGAAATCACTCTCGGGCTCCAGGGAGAAGGTGTCATATTCAGCGTGAGCCTGCCGCCCACTCCAATCTTCCATCCACACCCGGAGCCTGTAGGAGCCCGGACGGGTCAGCCAGTGGATAGGCTCCAAGCCTAGCCAGTGCTCTCCTTCCAGGTTCCCGAAACCGTTCTGGGGAGACATCGTAAGCAAGAGGTTAGTAGATGGCCACTGGCTGTGAAGCAAAAGTGGGGAAGATGCGGGTGCCTACATATTGTTGGACTGCAACTTCCATTGGCCCTAAACTGACATAGCCAATGGTTAAGGAGGATGGGAGTTGCGGTCTCACCATTTCTGGAGGACCACATGGTCCCAAGGCCTGCTAATGGGGTACAACAGAAGGGAGAAGATTATGCAGGTTGTATTCGCGAAGGCTTTCACGGCCGGGATCTAATGGTTGTTGTGGGTTTTTCGGGCTTCTTGACCGTGTTCTGAAGGTGGTTTTTCCTAACGTTTCGCCAGTCTCTGTGGCCAGCATCTTCAGAGGACAGCAAACTGTGCTCTGGTGTAGTTTGGCTAGGGCGTGGAGTATTTATGGCTGTGAGATGGGATGATTAGTGTGTATTGTTGTGGGTGTATTGTTTTCTGTGGATGGGTGATTCATGTGTTTTGTTGTGGGTGTATTGTTGTGATGAGATTATCTGTCACTGTGGTTGATGGTAGTGATCCCCTTGACCTTGTGGTTGGGTAGAGTTCGTGACCTTTTGCATGCTGTATTTTTGAGAGCTGGGAGCCAAGTTTTGTTGAGTTTCAAACTTTCCTCTTTTTTACTGCAACTTCCATTGGCCCTAAACCGACATAGCCAATGGTTAAGGAGGATGGGAGTTGTGGTCTCACCATTTCTGGAGGACCCCATGTTCCCCAGCCCTGCTAATGGGTACAGCAGAAGGGAGAAGATTATGCAGGTTGGTTGAGAGCGCCTTATTCTGAACCACAGTCCATTGGTTCACAAATGCGGGGACTGGTGATGAAGAAATTCCATGGAGAGGGTGCGAGACAGTGAGGTTTTCATAAAGAAAAATATATTTAACAGCTTAAACCAGATGTCTGTGACAGATGCTGTTATTAGACTTTGGATTTCTCAAGGAAAACTGGGCTTTTAAAAAAAAATTAAAGGAACTTTTATTGGGTAAATTGTGAGTTGCATTTTTTGACAAGGGAAGATGATGGTAAAGGAAAGGCGGGCAGGGATGAGGGTTTCTGAAAAATAAAAGTGGTGGGGGATTTCACACAAAATAAATGGTCGTAGGGGGCTGCTGATTCGGCCTAATATTGCCTCCTCTACCTGCTGGTAGCTTTCCATTGAGGATTCTCTTCTAATCCTACTCTGTATTTCCTGCTTCTCTTCCACCTAAATACTAACCAGACCTGGTCTTGCTTTGTTTCTGAAAGCAGAAATACCATGTGTGTTCAAGGGTTGATAAGTGCTTTTCCCATTCCTTGCCCATTAGGGGAATATACAGCATGTAGCAATTACCTTTCTCATTACAGAAGGTACAAAACCCTTCACAATGGGAAATCAGTAGAAAAACACATGCACACATGCAGGTGCAAACACACACCTTCCTTTTATCTCCACAACTTAATGATGCAGCCCAAATGGTTTGAACAAACCCTAAGTTGGTGGCCTCTCACTGAATGATTTACTGGCTGTGATTCTCCGATCTGGGCTATAAAAACTAAGCCTGTTTTTCTAGGTCCCAGACTCACATGTCTGCTGGAGAATTTGTGGATAGGATTTCCTCCTCAAATGGACCACACATTTTTGCAGCTGATGTAGAGTTTGGAAACAGCAGCCCTCTTTGGGACACATTCCCAAGACTTGACCGCTCTTTGGTGGGCGGCCAAAAATCTTCCATGGCACCTGGGGGGTCTTGGGAGCTGCAGTCACAAAGGTAACTTTTCTAAGCTCTGACTTGGGGGGAGCAAAAACCTTGATAGTTCACCAGGACCTCTTTGTGGCTTTTGATACCATTGGTCATGGTGTTTTGTTGGGCAGCCTGGCTGGGTTGCAAATTGGGGGCTCTGAATTGCCATGGATCCGATCCTTCTTGTCAGACTTTTTAGAAGATGGCATCAGGGAGCATGGTTTGACCCCATAGACTTTGCTTGATCGGGCCCCTCAGGGCTGTGCCCTGTCCCCTATATAACCACCGCTTGAGGTGACGTGCCACCAATAGACGGATGACAGCCGGCTCTATTCCTCTTTGTCACTTGACACTGACGGAGCGCTCAGGATCCTGAAAGTCGCCTGAGCTTTCTAATGGCCTGAATGAAGATGAACAAACTGAAATTAAATCCTGACAGGATGGAGGCACTGTTGGTCAGTTGAGTGTCCAGCTCAGGGATTGGGATTCAACCTACTCTAGAAGGGCTTGTAAGTGCTCCCCTGACAGGTGAGCTTCACAACCTGGGAGTCACCCTTGACTCACATTTTACCTGGATTCCCAGGTGGCTGTCATGGTGAGGAGTGCCTTTACACAACTTCATTTAGCGAGCCAGCCACAACCTATCCTCCTGAGTCATCCTGACTTGGCAAGAATAATGTATTTCTTAGTTACATCTTGTCTTGACAACAGCAGTGTGCTCTACTCAGGGCTACACATGGGCCTTTGGCCTTTTTTGCATTGCAGTCCCCATGAGTTACTAGAAACCCCCAACAACCAGAATTCTGGGAGTTAAAGGAAAGAAATCAAAGTCCTTAGAGGTGTTTTCAATCATTTATAGATATAGGCCTTGGAAAGCCTCCTAAGCAACCACCATTTTGGTTGTGAAGAATGAGGAAGTGACTGGGAGAGGCTAAGCTGCAGGGGAGCCCCAAGAGGTCATGCAACTGGTCCTCTATCTGCCAATTAGGGCTTGTACGGGTTGCCTCTCAAACAACTACAGTCCTGTTACCCTTTCTGGCTTCCTTGCAGCTTAGCCACTCCCTGCTACCTCCTTCTTCACAGCTACATTGGAGATTTTTAAAATTGGTTTCCAGAAGCCTGTATCTACGAGTGATGGAAAAACACCTCTGACGATTTCAATTTCATGCCTGTAGCTCCCAGGATGCTGGCTAAGGGAACCCCTGGGGTGAACTCTGTGGGTTGTAGTGCAAAAGAAAGGGAAGTCCCACGACTACTTGAGGCTACCTTTGAAGAGGAGCTGGGAATTTCAGTGAGTTCAATACATTGCAGCTGTTAGCTGACCCACAGTATCAAAATCGTATGACCTGGATACTGAAGTATCTGCAAAGGTTACCAGTTTTTCTTGATAATAATACGCCATCAAGTTAATTCTGATATTGTGGTGAACCTTTTTCAGGGTTTTCCAAGTAGAGAATACCCAGAAGTGGTTTACCATTCCCTTCTTCCGGAGGGTGTGCCCTGGGGCTGTGCAGCTTGCCCAAGGCCACATAGGCCGGCTCTACTCCCAGGGGTGCAGTGAGGGAATCGAATTCTCAACCTCTGCCTCCATGCCCATGGACTTCAATGAGCTATTCAGCTAACTGTTAACGCAGGCCTAGTGTGAGCTGTTGGATTTAACATTCAAATGCCGAAATGGCTTGGAGCCTGAGATTGTCTGTCTCATTATGAGCCTGTCCAGATGTTAAGATATTCAGGACAGGACATTCTTGAGAATGCCAAAAGCTGAAGAAGCCCACTGCAGCTTTTGGCTGTAGGCAGGAGAGAGCTTTCTCCTGCATAGCTCTCAGACTGTGTAATGCACAGAAATGGAAACTGTTTCCTCTCTTGTTATTTTCAGGTAGGTTGAGAAGACACATATTTTTCATAGTGCTTAGTATTGAGATGATTTTTAAATGGTTTGTATTTTTAATTATTTTAATGGTTTTATGGTCTTGGTTGTTTCAGTTGATTTTAATGACACTATATCTGAATGGCTGAAATCCTGTAAAACTTTCAGCCTGTTCCTAGCTGCCAGATAAAAGGTTCCCTCTATGATTCTTGGGGGGGGGGCACACGTGCAGAGTGGCTCAGTACATGTGTCTATGTCCCCAGGAATTGCACTTGGGACTTTTTATCTGCCAGGTTGAAATGGGATGAAATTTTCTTTATGTCAAGCAACAGGATTTCAGCCAATTCTTATTACTCTTGCTTTTATCACATCTTATTATCATAAGCTGCCTTGAACACTGTCTGATAGTGGAAAAGAGGATATAGATGTGTTGTTGTTGTTGTTGTTGTTGTTGTTGTTGTTGTTGTTATAAACAGCAGTTACAGTTAAGCAAAACTATAAAAACATTGATTGGTATTATATAACAGATACAAGTTTTAACCAAAAACCTAAATAGCCGTTTTCTGTAGCTATTTAGTTATTTCTGAGATCTGCAACTGCTTTTCTTAAAACTAAAATATTAACTATGACATAAAATACATAAACCAAAATACAAATCAATTGTGTTCCCCACCACCTTAGTCAGGACCTCTTGCAATAATCTTCTTCTTCCATTGTCTTTAGTCTTCTTCTTCCTTTATTGTCCTCTTCTCCAGAACTGCACTGATTCCTGGTTTGGAACTTTCTCTTTTCCTCTTGTTAACACAAATTCAATAAATCTGCCCCATATATCATAAACATTTTTAATCTCTCCTTTCTTAACCTTCAAATTACAAGTTAATTATAATTTACAGCAATGTTCCATATTTCATTATACCATTCTTCCATTTGAATTTCAAGTTTTGATTCCCAATTCCTAGCTACAGTGGTGCCTTGCTTAGCGATGTTAATTCGTTCCGAAAAAATCACTGCTAAGCGATAACATCGTGAAGCGAAAATAAAAAGCCCATAGAAACGCATTAAAACGCGATTAATGCGTTTCTATGGGTTTAAAACTCACCTTTAAGCAAAGATCGTCCATAGCGCCACCATTTTCGGTGCTCTAAAGCGAGGAATCCGTGCCTGAAAACAGCGGGCGGCCTTTTTTGTTTACCCGGCAGCCATTTTGAAACCGCCGATTAGCTGGCCGAAAATGGGGGCTTTGCGATGATTGTTTCCCTGTGATCATCGCAAAGTGAAATTCACCCATAGGGACTATCGCAAAGCGATCACTTTTGCAACTGCAAAAACAGCGTTGCTAAGCGATTTCGCCGTAAAGCGGAGTGATCGCTATGTGATGCACCACTGTATTATTAATCTAGCTGCTGTTAATAAATTGGTAATCACTGATCTGCAACTGCTTATATTACTGTGTGAAATTTGTTGTTGTTGTTGTTGCTAACCCACGTTGAATGAACGATGAGTCAGTGCTTATGTAGACCTCAGCCCAGTCATGGGACTCAGATGTGAAGGTCTCCTTGCATCTCCATAGCTTTGCCTGTCTCACTGTCCCCTTTGCTTCATAGCTCCCTTCCCATGGCACCCGGGACCACATGCTCACACCTTGTAGTGCTGCCAGGTGACGAAGAAATTGACCGACCCATCCTGGCGTCGCTGGATGACAGTCCAACCACCCCCATCATACTCCTGATCACACCAGGCCTGGATGATGCCTTGTCCACCTGTTGGTTGCAGCATGGTGATGCCACTGGTCTGCCCATCCTGTTGAGCTGCTTGACAGTCATGCCAGGGCCCTGAGGCAGAAAGAGAGGGTGAGGGGAAGCAGTTGTTAGGAACTGAACAATATATAGGGCAGGGCTGGGAGCACTGAGCCTTCCACGTATTGTTAAACTAAAGATTCAATGACATGGGGATTTGTCCTGCAGTTTGGTCCACTCTAGGAACAGACTGGTTTGCTTCATTTCCTGGTGACCACACAGCAGAAGTGCCAGCATGAATCAACATGTCCGCAGAGCATTCCTGCCTGCACCTTTTTGGCTCATTGCCGTGAGCTTTTTTTTTTTAAAGTATGAATAGGATAGCACCATGTTTGTTTTGTTCTGGCACATGCCATTTCTGGTATCAAACCAAACGGGATGGGTTGCTGCTTTCCATTTCTCATCTGCTTTCAATTTCCCAACCTTTAGTGGCTTAAGCAGACAGGTTAGCCAGTTAACAACAATGAGAAATTAAAAGCTTCCTCTGCTCCTCTGTGGAGGAGGAGAAGGATGAAGCACAGGTGCTTTGTTGTTTTCTTTAAAGCCTAGGTAAGACAGCACTGCTGATATTCTATACCCTTTAGAAACAAAATAAAATTGGTAGTGTCTTCTCAAAAGGAAGAGAAGACGGGGGGGAGGGGCAAAGCAGAGGATTCCCCCCCCTCTTTTTAAAGCGAGGTGGGACAAATAAGATTGCTTGAGGTGCCTATGCCATGTGGATGCAAAGATTGCAGCAAATGGCATAGCACATCTCTGTGCCACCTTAAGCAGCCTTATTTAGCCCAAGCCAGCCCACTCCAACTTAGCCATTCTGCCATGCCCCCAAACTTCAATCGTCCACAACCAGTATAGCCAAAGATGAGGGATCATGGGCACTGTACTCCAGCAGTCACACATCCCCAAGATCTGACACAGTAGCATGGACTTGTGTATTTAAGAACCAACCACAAATCCCAGCCAGGGAACCATTATCTCTTGTGGTACTTCTGACTTAGTTGCCACAAAGCACTGGGACATGTATCACTGTGGGAAGCAAAAATAGTTTAGCTGGATGCCAAGTTTTATAGTGAAAACAAATATTTTGTTCCTAACAATAAAATCTACCAACAAATCATGGCAATACATTCAACAATACTACTGGTGATTTTATTATATGTGTGTTTTGTAGCTATTCTAGCAGTAAAATATACTGTATTACTCCTGTTCCAGAAGGCTTTTAATTGAAATAACATCAACTGTGGGTCTTGATGATGGCAATTTTAATTGTATTTTAATTGTATTTTAATCATTTTATATTTTATTGTATTGAATTTTAATTGTTGTAAGCCACCCAGAGACCTTTGGGTAGAGTGGGCGGCATATAAATTAAATAAATTAAATAAATAAATAAATTACAAATTAATAATGGGCTTATTATTTGTCCTTGTTTGTTTGCGTCTGCTCTCAACAATACTCATGTAATTTTTATGTCCTTAATTCTTATTACAAATGTCAATCATAATAAGAATAGAATGCCCGTCCTGTGAAAAGTGTCCTTTTTGTTTCTGTTGCGATGGGATCCAGGCTTTTCGGCAGAGTGACAGGGGAAATATAAAATATTAAAAGGTTAAGGAGCAACATCTCAGAGCACAGGGCACAATAGCTCTGTGGAGTCCAGAAACCCAGGCAAAGAGGACCAGCCTGCCTCCTCTACCACAATAGCAGCCTCCTACATTTTTGGAAAGGGCTGCATGCTTGCTTTAGTCCGTGTCAACAAAAAAAAGGCTGTCAGTAAATCTGTGGCCTTCCTCTAACGACTTGCTGTTTGATGTTCAGCCAGACTTCAGGAACCAGATTTTGGATCTGGAGTGGGGAACAGACTGGATGCTGAAGAATGAAGTATGGTTGGGGGAGGGTGGCTTTTAACCATCCTCCTTTTATTGGGCTGTGGGCTGTAAATGCCTCAAAAAAAGAAGCAGGAGGCCCCAGAGGGAATGTGGGAGAACAGAAAGAAAAAGGAAACACTGCAATAGAATATTACAGCATGGCAGAAAGCAAGAATAATCGCCTAAGTTCAACAGTGGAAAAGCGCTACATTGGGTTTTGCTTGTTTTTGACAGAGATATTTACACCATTCAAATATTCATCAATAAATAGGTGTACTGTTCAGCACTGAGAGCCAGAGTCGTGCAGTGGTTCCCAAACTTTTTCAACTCGTGTCTCCCTTGACTTACTGGCCACTGACTGCAGCTCCCCCTTTCCTTTAGGTGGGTGGGAGGAGAGAAAAGGAGGGAAGAAGCCTGGCCCAGGTAGCACTTTCAGGGATTCCGCAGAAGTACTTCTGAAGATCCCCTGGTGTCCCTGGCTGGGTCTGGCGGTGCCCCAGGGCGCCCTGGTGCACAGTTTGGGAACCACTGGTGTCGTGGACAGACTTGAGGGACTGGGACTCAGGAAACCTGCATTGACATCGCCACACAGCCATGGAAACTCACTGAAAAGGTAAAGGTTCCCCTTGACATTTTTTAGTCCAGTTGTGTCCGACTCTAGGGGGCGGTGCTCATCCCCATTTCCAAGCCATAAAGCCAGCGCTTGTCCGAAGACAATCTCTGTTGTCACGTGGCCAGCATGACTAGGGAACGCCGTTTTACCTTCCCGCCGAGATGGTCCCTATTTATCTACTCGCATTTGCATGCTTTCGAACTGCTAGGCTAGTGAAGAGCTGGGACAAAGCGACGGGAGCTCCCTCCGTGGCGTGGATTCGACCTTACGACTGCAGGTCTTCTGACTTTGCAGCACAATGGCCTATGCGGTTTAACCCGCAGCGCCACCACGTCCCTGAAACTCATTGGTAAAACCACTCCTTGAACATCAGATATACCTTGAAAACTCCATGAGTGCTACAATAGGTTGGTTGTGAATTGAAGACATAAGTCAGTAACAACAATATTCACCCCTAGGTCTATTGCCAAGCACCACTTGGGAAAAAGTACTTTAACCCATAATCCATCAACCAGCATAACTAGTGGAGAATTTTATGTAGCCCTTAGAAGTAGCTTTTCCAAGCTTCATTATGTAACGGATGGCTTTCTACCAGTTCAGGATAACTACAATTTATTCAGTAAGTGAATATGACAAGGGGGGGGGGGGTTAGAGATGGGGGTATTTGTCTTTGTATATAGATACGAATATCCCCATGCAGCTGGACTTAATGAGGATTTGGCCCCCAGGGCTGGGCCATACACTTACATGTCCTGCTGCAGTGCCAGTCCCGCTCATCCTTCCAATCGTGCCCGGAGCTCTGCTCTCTTCCCGCTCGCCTGGCCACTCCAGGCAGGGGGAGGGAGGACGAGTCTTCCTGCATGGCTACCGAATGGCCAGCCGAGCAGGAAGAGAGTGGCGTTCCGGGCGGGATTGGAAGGATGAGCAGGACCGGCGCTGCAGCAGGACATGGGAGTGGACAGTCTGGCCCCAGGAGCTGAATCCTCCTTGAGTCCAGCTGCATGGGGATATTTGTATTTGTATACGAATACAAATCCCCACCATCTCTAAAAGGGCTATTTCTAGTCAGGATCAACCTAAGACATTTTGGTAGAATTAAGATGGCTCCAATCAAGAGAGGGTATACAGGAATAAAGGCAGGAATTTGTGGTACCTCATCATGCTGGTAAAGTGGCATGAGGTAGAGAATACATGGCACCTAGAATGCTGTGCTGGCAAAGTAGGCTGACCTAGCACAAAGCAATTTGCTCAGACTGATCCTGGCTTGTAACCCTCCAGAGGCAAACACCATAATACAGTAAGTATATTGTTTGAAATGGAGCTTCATTCCTTAAACATTAAGAGAGAGCTGCTCGTCATAGCATATGCTTTCACTCAGTTCCATCTTTTGCATTTCATCAAGTCCAGATTTGTGATTGGTCAACAGACAGCGAACACAGACTTCATTTGTAAGTCTGATTGCTCTGGACTGTATCTCTCCAGAAATCACTTTGTGGGATTTGAGGAGGGACAAAAGACTGCTCCTTTTTGTCCAGTGTTTGGTTCAATTTTGAGACTATGGGCAGTGGAATTATATGATCAAATGCTTTTCCATGAATATCCCCTACCAGTACAAAAGAACATCAGTATGAAGGGGAGAAAAAAAGGTAACTAGAATTCTTCACTCCGACATCTAGTATTTGCATTAAGGACTTTTTTAAGAGATGTGGAGTTTTAGCTATCCTTTTCAGGAACTGTTTTCTGTTTGTGTGTATGCATGAATGCCCACACATGAAAAGCGGGCTCCACCCGGCTATGGTAGTAAGTCGCCATGCTGAGCCTTTCCCCTCCCTAGGCCCTCTTACCCGTTGATTTGGTGGGCATCACAGCCAAAGGCTGGACAGTGCCCTCTGGTGGAGTGGAAGCCTTGTGCAGCAGCCACTGCTGGGCAGATGCCATCTGATCCCGCTGGATGTCATTGGTTACATCAAAATAGACCTTGCTTTCGTTGGTAGCGCTTACAAGATTGTGAGGTACCACTGGCACCAGAGGTGGCTGGGCAGAATACAAACAAACAAAAAAGACAGTCAGTTTGGTCCCACTACCACAAGAGAGAAGGAACGTCACTTAGAATTCTGCACCCATTCACCCAAGAGAGGCAGAGCAGCAGATTTAGACCATGCCCTTGGTCTCGGCCTCTGTCTCTGCAACAACCAGGGCAGCCACATGTCCCCTTTTACAGACGCCCTCCATTCGAAGAGCTGTTTCCGCCTCGGTATGTTTTAAGGATAAAGAACCACCAGGAGGAGAAGAAGGTGTCTAGAAGTTGCCCACCCGCAGTTAGGGCCTAGACAGCAGACTCAGCAGGTATGCAGACACCCTGGCCATAGTCTTCCATATTCAGGGAAGGAATTCTATTTAAATCATACAAATCATTTCCAACTTTTCCTTTGCACATATAAATGAGCAAATGTGAAATATTCTCTTTTGAACATCCACACATGCAGACACGCACACAATTCTGTGAATGAAGCAGGGGGACAGAACAGTAAAGGCCTCAGCTGCAGGTGCCCTGGAGTCCTCTCTAACTAGTACCTGTGGACGCGTCCGGCCGCTTGATCCTTGCTGACATTCTCTCTCCAGCCGGCTGATGAGAGCACTTTGGTTGTTGACCAGGGCAGCCAGGGCTTGGTACTTGACCTCCAGCTGCCGGTAATTGGCAGCCACGCGTAAGGCCTCGGCAGAGGCATTGGCCACTCGACCTTCAAGCAGGGAGGCTGGAACGGTCCGATCTCGTCGCTGGAGGATCTCATGGAGCATCTGAGTATAGAGTTGGGTGACGCGAGCATTGACGTTGCGGCTCTCCTTGCGCAGTGCCTTGACCTCGCTCACTACCGCCCCATCCACTTCCACCAGGCGACGTAGCTCGTCCATTTGGGCCTGCTGCCGGCTCAGCTGGAGGCGCAGCTCCTCTACCTCGCTGCGATTGGGGCCTGGTGGGTCTGGAGGAGGGCGCACGCTGCTCCAGCACACGGCCCCCGTGAACTTCTGCTGTGGCAAGATGAAGGTATAGGTGCATCTTGGCCCAGTGAGGGGCTCAGGGCCTGGCACAACTTGACTGGCCAGGCTCAGTACCACCGCCATTAAATACTGAGGCTCCATGTTAAATGGGAAAAGGTGCAGCAAGATGGGGTTGAAAACCAAGATTCTGCCTCTCTCTGTCTCTCTTTCTCTCTCTCTGCAGTTGGAAACCAAGATTCTGCCTCTCTCTGTCTCTGTCTCTCTCTCCTCTCTCTCTTTCTCTCTCTCTGAGGACCTATAAAACACGATGGCAAAAATTTCAGTCCTGACATTCAGTTACCACAAAATAAATGAAACAACTTCTCTTCAACTAACAATTCACACAGTTCTGCACAATCTCAATCTACTCACAGACATACTTTTGGCTTGTAGTCCTAACGTGAAAGAGAACTTGGTTTCAATAATTTCCCACTGAAAAATAAGTTTCTGATCCTGTAAAATTTACTTGCATGGAAACTTGGGCTATGGATATTCAACAGAATGTATCTACCAAGGAATAGTACTTAAGGTCTGATCTACTCATTAATTAGAATAAGGCATGTACTGAGCTAGAATCTTTCTCCCTGATGTGATAGGTTTTAACTTCCAGGAGTAGGGCCAGGTGGGTGTATGTATACTCAAAAGAGGGACCAACCAACCCCCCAGTATCTTCCACTGGCAGCCTCAATCTATAGAGTCCAGTCTGATCTGTGCACACAGATCCAGTCAACCCACCTGCTCTGTGTGCACAGACTAGTTCAGAGTGGGACAGACTTAGGAAATTTTGGGAAGGAGCCCTTCCGGGACTCGTAGCGGGTGGCAGCTTTCCTTTTCCAAGAGAAGGAAAAGAGAGTACTGCAGCATACTATCAGTCCTGAATCATGAGCTTTTCTCCCCCTTTCTTTCTGAGCATCCCCTGAAAATATTCTGAACATGCCAGTCCCCTCTGATGTAGAAGCTGAGTAGAGCTAAGTTTCGTTAGCACCAGAGCAGAAGACACAAGAATGTGCTTAGTTTTGGAACACAATCACAGGGTCAATATATGAGTCAGAATTTAAAAGGCTAAATTAACAAGGATTTGATTCAGGATGCCTGTGTACCTGTTTAGTTGTGCTGTCTTTTCCTCACTTTGGCTAGAGCGAACCAAAGAGCAGAATGGAAGATAGAGGCAAGAGGAGAAATTTTGGTGACCACAAGCAGAATTTCAGCTTGAGGTCCTGCAGAAAGAGCTAGGTTGTTCTGTCCAGTCTCTCACCTTTTCTTTCTGTGCTGTTGTCCCTGTAAAAATGTAGGTGAAGAGGTAGATCTGAAATTTAGATATTTTTGTCTTGGGTGTCGCAGGGCTGGCTCTGAGGGCCTTAGGATTAAATGCCGATGTCTCTTGCCAATAAACGCTTGGGAAATGGCTTCCGCCTGGCTGAGGAAAGGCTATTAAAGCCCCCACCGCCATGGAAACAGACATTTATATCCCCTCAGTTTCTGGGCTGCTGCCTTGTGGTTCCCATTAATGGAACTGGAATTCCACAGAACGGACTGGATGTGACACATAAGATACTTCAGCTGGAACCAGACAAGTTTTCCCCCCCAATAAAGAGTGGAAAAGGTGGTTTGAAAGAAATTTCACTTCCTTCATTGTAGTGTTTCTCTCTCTCTCTCTCTCTCTCTCTCTCTCTCTCTCTCTCTCTCACACACACACACACACACACACACACACACACACACAGAGAGAGAGAGAGAGAGAGAGAGAGAGAGAGACTTCTTTATGCGTGAAAAATGGGTTTGCCAGAGACAGTGAATACACGGGTAGGCAAACCAAGTGCTACAAGCAGCCATCCCTCTTGCAAAGGTGTCTTCAGCTCAATGAAAAAGGGGTTCCCCAGATTTCCAGGAACGCAGAGAAAGGCAGGACCTCTTTCTGGTCTCAGCTGGGCAGTCTAAACAGTTCTTGGTAAGAGAAATTCAGACAACCATCCATCAGATCTGCTTTGATTTAGATTTCTGCATTGAGCACGGGGTTGGACTCGATGGTCTTATAGACTCCTTCCAATTCCATTATTCTATTATTCAATGACCCCTCAGCTACCCCCAGAAATGTAGGACTATAATTCCTGCCACGTCCACCAACATGGGCATTGATCACCCTGGGTATAACAGTTTTAGTTTAACCACATCTGGAAGGCACTGTGGTGGGGTGGGGTCGACAAATCTGAGCCTTCTTAGTTCCATAATGGCCTGTCCTTTCTCCTGCTGCTGTCCACTTCACCCAACCGTTACACTCCACTTTGTATATCCATTTCATCCAAATCCCAGTCTCCACTTCAGTTTCAGCTCTCTTTTATTCTGTCTGTTCCTTGGAAGCTCTTCAAACAGCTGTGTTTCCTAACTAACTGCTTGAGCTACATGAATTTCTTAGGCAAGCAAGCAAACATAGTCAACCCTGAGGGGTACTTTTAAATCTGCAAACTGTAGAGAAGATTTAGGCAAAACAAATATAAATTCAGAGTAACATCCATAAAGTCAGAGCTTAGAAGAGGGGGGTTTTTTTTGGGGGGACTACAACCTCCAGCTGGGGAGTTGTGGTCAAAAAAGCAACTTTTCGAAATTGTGGGCCTGATTAAGGAAGAAGGTTAAGCATAACAACTGGTACATCTTGAGACAGATAACTCCCAGTTCTTGTGTAAACAAGCATCCATTCCCAGGCCCCCTGAACAGGGCCAGATGGGGCTTATCGCTATTTCTTAGAAATGAAAATAAATAAATAAATCATGGCCCTGACCTTGTTCTCACGCCAGCTCTGGAAAGAAGTGAGGGAGTTTTAAATAGTAAAAATATAAATGGCAGCTATGGGTCTCTATACCAAAAATAATTCCTTCCTCTGGACATGGCTTTCTTGTTGGTCAAGAAAGGATGGGAGATGATAAGCCACGTTGCAATGTGTGCCAAGCAAACCCTATGCAGATGTAAGTCCCATGGGTTAAACAAAACAAAACAAAAATACCTCACAACTGAAATGCTAGTAGTTCTTCAAAATAAATATTGCAAATCCAAAGTTCAAAAATAAGACTTCGAAAATCTTATGACGCCCATAAGCTTAGCAAAATCTGAGCTTTAGGATATAAATATGAGCCATGGCGCCTCATAAGGATCTAGAAAGGATTTGTTTACCAGCATTAATATGAAATACTTATTTGCCAAGCTAAACATCCTTGCAAGAACAGGACTTCTTCCAAAGTTAGACATATGAAAGTTCATTAGACTTGCAATCGTGTGCACATTTTTATTGGGATTATGTCTCATCTTATAGGGCATACTCCCAGTGAATTAAATTTGAACGAAAATGTATAGGATTGTTAAGGGCTAAATTACATGTTACGTGTGCAAAAGACAGACAGCAGCAATGAAAACCCGCATTCTGAAGCAGAACAATAGATTGTCGGTGAGCTAATAAATACTGAATTTCAGCGAGTGTGAAAAAGAAAACATAACACTTCCTTTCCTGCTGTGGTCCTGAAGAAAAGAACTTCTGTGGCTTACATTCAAATGTTAGTCCCAGCCAGAACAGACCGACTGAATGAATGGGGCTTTGGTAGACCAATATTTAACATACAGACATGTGAAAAAGAAAGTACACCCTCTTTGAATTCTATGGTTTTACATATTAGGACATAATAAAAATCATCTGGTCCTTAGCAGGTTTGAAAGTTAGATAAATACAATCTCAGATGAACAACATGACATACAGTATTACACTGTGTTATGATTTATTTTACAAGAATGAAGCCAAAATGAAGAAGCCATGTATAAAAAGTGGAGACAATCAAAGGACTGTGCAAGATTACTAAAATATATTTACCCCTCCTTTCTCCTTAAAAAGGACCCAAGGCCTTAGGGAGGGAACTTGAGGGTCTAAAAGCCATGACTGATAGTTAGCCTGTCCAGGCACAGGGTAAAGTTAACGGAACCTCATCTAACTCCTGGTGAGCTTTAATTAACTTCTAAAACTAATTTCCCTGCTGAGACTACCTGGAGAGAAGGGGAAATGGGACTCTTAAAAGCTGGAAATGCAGTGTAAACAGTTCTCAATAAATGCTCTCTTGTTGAGTTGACAGCTGTTTCAAAGTTTCCTTCAAGGTGAGGGATGACACCGGAATGTCTTTTGTACAGATCAGGTGTACTCCTTCACAGTGACACACCACTCCATTGGCTTGCTACTAAAATGACACAGTACTGGACTGCAAAGAGAACGAACAAAAAGAGAGAGAGATTCCCCTGTCTTCTGTCTCCTGTTCTGTGTTGAGTGGTAAGTGACATATCACTTCATTGCTATGCGAAACACCCATCAGTGCCATTTTGGTTCAATACCAGCAATTTAAAATGCCACAAATTAAACCTCCCAGAGTGGTAGAATATACCAGATGGGCAGGATATAAACAAACAAACAAACATGGAACTAAAAGTAACATAAAAATAACCCACACGAAAAATAACATTAGCCCCTGCTAGTGATCCAGAAAAGTACAAATAGCCATGGAAAAAGGTTGGGTTGGTTCCCAATTACCAGGATATTGTTTAGTCACCAGAAATGTATTGAACTTGACAGTGACACAAGCAATCCAAAATGCAAAATAAAGCACCATCTAATTAACACCCATTTGTTCGTTTGAGTGGTGAACTAGTGCAGAATGTGAGTACTTCTCATCAGTGATGGGCACAAACCATCAGTTTGGTGGCTTGGCACAGTTCATTTACTGGCCCCACAGCTGATCTGTCGTTTGGTGCCCTGCCCCCTCCAGCAGGCGCACACATTTGGAGGGAGCGATCTGGCTTCCCTGCCCTGCCTCCTCTGGGAGCTGCCTCCGAGTGGGTGCCCACTGGTGCGGACAGGGCTTTGAAAATAATCTCTGCAGAATTTTTGAGTTAACTGGTCTTGTGGTGATTTAGCACCAAAAATCAAAGGTTCTAACCTGAGAAGCTCTTGCTGCCTGAACTCCACCGCAGGGACAAAATGAAACCTAAAAAACCAAAAACAAAATAAAACAAAAATTCAAAAACCCTTTAGCTGTGAGGGATTTTTTAAAAAGTCACTCCTGGTGCCAAGACAGGCCTTTGTCACCTGAATGGTGGGGAAAATATCCGTATCATCACCACATAGTCAGGTACTTATAAATGCTTC